AATTGGTAGTCTAACTATAATAAAATGAAAATATAATTTTATGTATCCATACGGTGCGAATTTCTTCTTTCCGTTTGCACACTCTTCCTTCCACAGCATATTTTCCCCCTTTACCATAGTAGCATTTTTAATTTATCCCAATCTTATATGTATGGGTAGGAAGCAGAAGAAAAATGTTAGTCAAACAATAAATTTTTATTTTCAATTATAAATGTATCGTTCTCATCTCGTTTAAAAGTTATTTTCAATTATAAATTTATCGTCCTCATCTCGTTTAAAAGCCTCAGCAATAATTTCATCTACGACGTATGCTATTAGTTGACAATCTATGGCTGAAGATTTGTCATACCAGTTGTGCAGTATTCTAACACCATCGTCTCTTTCGGCACCGATCAAATTGCCACGTAAGCAGCTCACAAGTTGATGGAAGCTTTGATCTATTTCGCCTAACATGTCACACAGTTTGCGATATGCGTGCTCGACACAATGTTCGAGTTGGAATAAAATAATATAGTTGGTACTTTCATATACATGCAAGTATTGTTAAATGTTAGCTTTACAATTTTTCCGCCGTACATTGTGACGAGTTCTAAAACTAAATCGTTAATATGCATCGATGATGATGGCGATGACGCATCTGCTGTTTTCAAGAGCTGCTCAATTTCTGCGCGTTTCTTGTTCAATTCCGTCCACATTGAATAATCTAACAACATCCGATTTCCGCGATTGTCGCCGAGAATGATGTCCACATAGGATGCACCAGATACCACGCAGATTCCAACATCCAAGTATTTATATGCAGTGGATGTCAAAGCGAATCTCCTGCTCATGATACGAGGCGTGTAGCAAGGTTTATCGGAACTGAAAGAATACATAAAGTAAAAATAATTACAATCAAATGATGAAAAGTATGAACGAATATACAATAATTTCATGGTACTTACGCATCATGTTGTTTCTTGCACGAAACAGTTTTATCTCGAGAAACGGATGGTGTTAACTTTGAGGAATGGATGGCGTATAACTACTTTGAGGAACATACGGCGTGTAACGACGATTGCTAAAACAGTGTGAAAAAAAATACAATTAAATGTGAAAAAATGTGTGCAATATATGATAGCTCATTGGTACTTACACGTTACACTGTTTCTTGCACGATATACTCAGAGGAACGTACTGATTCATTCTTCCAACACTGTGTTGAAAACACCGATGAAATCGACTCACTCCGGCGGCGGCGACTGAAACTCTGAGGTTTAGTTCTCGATCTCGTATAAAATCTCCTACTGTGGTACTGCGGGCTTCCGGACCGTTTATATGCCATACAAAGTCGCTGTCAGCAGCCAGGTTTCGGCGCTTGACCCCGTAACTCATGCCATGGATGCGCGCAGCTGTGGTATCGGCGCTAATCAAAGGCATCTCCGATGATATCTATTACATGCATGTGTCGCGGATTGCCTCGCGCCGCGGACCTCCCCGCGCCCCGCGAATCGCCGCAGAATATCTCCTTCCCCGCGCCCCGCGGATCGCCAAGCGTTGTGGAATAATAAACGTGGAACTCCTCGACATCGTTCACCTTGATAAGAAAGTCATCAGCCAGGTTTCGGCGCTTGACCCTGTGACTCATACCCGTCCAGGTGTCAAAAATGACAGGTCAGCATCTAGATCGCGGTCTCCTCGCCGCGGAGTACCCTCCCCACCACACTCCCGCTCGCCACGGAGTACTCCCCGCGCCCCGCTCCCCCCTCGGAGCTCCTGGGTTAGAAATCCCTATATACCCCTACTATCCATATATTCAGAATGTTGGCGCAAATCAATTAACATCCAAAAATTTACAGCATTCAGAATTATAAAATTTACCAAATCTGAAAAGTAAGTTGAAAAAATTTTAACTAATTTAAAATGATAAAATTTGTAACGAAGCGCCACTCTTCCCCGGTACTGAATTCCGGACAGGACTCCGGCGGGTATCACTTATTACGCGAATAAATGCGGAACTTATTGTTAGTCGGACGCGCGGTTCCGACTAACGGTTGGAAGAGTTGGCCTTCTTTCGGTCGATTTTGACGTGCTGTGTGTCGGTTTAGATAAATCCTCCGTTCCTCTGATTTGCCGAATATGCTCAGCTCCAGGGCCGTCGAGAGGAAAGGAGGAAAAGATCGTACTTACTGGTAGTGAGGTAATCGCTTGGGAGGATCGGAAATAAATCGGACAGATGTTTTAAAGGCAGAGAACGATAGGAGCGTGTTTTATTCAAGGATTGATACACGGAATCGAGGTAATTACAATGGGTCCGCCCTGTGATCAAAATATAAAAGGAAAGGAAAGGATTAGTATTACAATGAGTCCGCCCTGTGATTAAATACAAAGAAAACAGGATATGTTTAGACGGATTATACTACGGTACAGGAGTACGCGGCCGGATCGGAATACGGAGTACAAAAGATAATGTGGCCGGTCGGATTAATCAGGAGTAACGAATCGCTGTTCGGATTTTAGAATTATCCGGAGTTGTAATAAAGGTGTACAGGAAATACACAACAATCTGGATTTTACAGTACGGCACGGAAAGGACGGTATTAGATCGGAATACGGAAAATAATGCGCAACTGGAAACGGATAATACACTGGTCAAAAAAAT